GTTCAAGCCAACAACACCAGTCAGAGAGCAACGCAGTGGGATGACGACAGCGACGACGCCGGCGAAGACGACAGAGAGTGCATTACACCTTCCGTCCTACGGTGAGCCATAATCAGTTTCCTCCCCCGCCGTGTTTCCCGTGCGTTCTGAGCTGAACATGTTCGAACCGCTGCTAGCATTTTTTTTATACTCCCATTGAGACTGGGATGTGGCCCCTGCCAGTCACTCCATAGGACACATTGCGCCAGACGTGAGGCAGACAAAATACCTATGTATATATAAGGTGTACGTACGATATGTGAGAGCAGTTTTTGCTGCCGACCAACCATTCGAAGCTCCGGTTTTCGCCTCTTCACTTTTCAAGAAGCACCACTGAGCAGCGATCAGTTTGTTTTGCATTTGCACGTTCGTTATTCTTTTTGTTTAGTTATTTTTTTTCTGAGCAGGAAAGGAAATTACGCTCGAAGAATATACAATATCAAATGCATTTGGCCTGAGGGGGTTGAGCCATGAATGAATTAGTGAATGAAATTTATACTGCAGTTGTAGTATTTGTCATATGATATGAGCTTGGATGCTGCATAGAGCTTGAAGTTGTTCATTTCCGCCGTTTTTGAATGAAAATACATATAGCAATTTATTTATTGAGTGAAACGTTTGATTCAACAGTTTAGTTGTAGAAACATGTTTTTCATAATTGTACTTAAGCATTTAATCTTCTGAAAAACAAACTAACTTTAGCCATTGCATGGGAAATAGTTCTCCAAAGGGCTTGATGTTTGATTTTTTATTAATCGAAGTCTCGGTTTTTTTCACTGGATCGAAAAATCTTTATGCACAAATACAAAATAAATGTAAATTCAATCTATTTCTCTCCAAACTTTGGCTTATTTAGTTACCCGTTCAGCCCAGAAGCATTCGGCTTGGTTTCAGAAAAATAATAATCTTAAATTCATATTTGTATTGTAATAAACCAACTTCCCGGGATTTTTCCTGTGTTCGGGCCATAATTCCACTGCGACTATCTATCTATTCTGATCTATTGAATTATATTGCGTATCCTTAGTTTAGTGCCGTATTACTCAATCACCAGTGAAACATTATGATATACGCGGTTTTGATCGTTTTATTACAGCTGTCATCATAGGAAAGGCCAGAGGAAGGCAGCTGCAAAATAATGTACAATTTTTTTTTATTTTTTTATTAAAGATTCTTGAGAAATGCTAAAGTTTAAAATCAAAATTATCTAACTCTCACAGAGCGTAAAATAATAGATTGCTTATGCACTGTACTATTCAATTCATTGTTCTATTCGGACCGTTTGTACGGTACGGGCAGTGCACTGAACTTCCATATGTGCGCCCGACCATCAAAAATCCATGCGCCGCCTATAAGGGGCTGTTCATTTAACTACGTAGACAGTTTAGGGGTGTAATTATCCACGGCCCATACAAGAAAATGTATAGACGATTGTCTACGCAGAGGGAGGAAGGGGGAAATAATAAAAAAAATGTTTACGTAGTTTATAAACAGCCCATAAGCAGCCACCATAATTGTAATTTAGGAATTTACACACAATTTAGTTCGCTCTAACTAACACCAGGGTACGGGGTTAAACTCGTCAGTTATCAGCTCGCCATGAAATATAAAAATAAAAATCCAAACGCAACCCAGTAACATAACAAATATTATTAAGATTTTAAGGCATTCTTCAAGGTGTACAAAACTATACTATGAGAAAACCAAAATTGTTTCTTGGGCGATGATTTGTGCCCAACGTTTGTGTCTTTGGCCCTGGTTTTTACAGGGAACGTAAAGTAAGGTTGTTTTTCGAATATTTCATCGTTTACGATAAGAAAACTGTAATCAGCTCTTTTCTTGAAGACTGAAAAGCCGAAGCAAAATTCGTTAGTCTAGACATTACTCGGGGTTTTTTTTTTGTCACTTTAACACTCTTGGGTCATTCGTGACTTGTCCTGGGGTGAGATTTGAACTCGTGACTTTGGCGTGAGAGGTAAGGATGTTAACCACTACGTCGGGGTCGCCCCATTTACTCGAAGTTTTCTGTGCATCTTTGAAGTTAAATAATGGAACTGTTCTAAATATCTCTTATATTTAGTAAATTTCTCTAGACTTCCCTAAATTTCTCAGAACCTTTTAAATATTCCCGCAATTTTCTAGAAGTTAATTAAACTTGCTTTAAATCCTTGCTCATGGAACTTCCTTTAAAACAATTTTCTCGAATTTCACGGAACTTTTCTGAAGAACCCACAGTTTTCCTGAAATTTTACGAACATTTTTTGAAATTTTCGGAGTCTTCTAAAACTCCTCGGCACTTTTTGAAAGATCCTGCAATTAATTAACGGAGCTGCTTGAAATACTCGGAACATCTTTGAAAAAAAGATGAAAGTGCAGAACAATAGGAGGATTACATACATGAACCAATTTTCTGTCAAACGCTAACCAGTGCCTGATTGGTTGTTCGAACGTATAGAAACGTGAGAATTTTTACAACAGGGAATCTATTTTCTTGTATTTTGACAGTCGACTGCGTCGCCCATTATGATATAGTTTTTGCACGGTCGTTTCCGCGAGAAAAGAAGAACACGTCACAGACAAAAAGAAGCCAGTTGTCTCCTCTTCCTCTTAGGTATGAGATAGGCGGCGATTGTTTGCATCACATCCCACCCTTGGCTGACTGAGCTACCGAGTGAGTGCTCAGATGTCAGTGACTTGTTTACTTCTCAATCATTCAAATTCTCAGGATGAAATGAATGTGTAGGCATATTTCTGTTAAATTCTTTCGTGCTGGTATTTTATTTTGATAAACTAAAGAATATAGTTCTTAAAAACTCAAAAATATCATAAAAGAACAAATTCTGCAAGAGGTGCACGTCTTCCCACGCAGAGGTGCGCATCTTGCCCGGGGTGTCTGAGAACGGTGTTAAAAAGTTACCTTTGTGGTTCATTTTGAAAATAGTCAAATTTGAACACATTGAGCTATATCAATCCTAGGGAGCTAGAGAAAACATCAAAGAAGTGGGACAGACAATAATTTAATGCATTGATTGCGATTATTACATATAACAATGATTTTAGCCTCAAGGTGGTGGTCTTGCCCTGTCCTACCCTACACGGAACCGAAAAATTACCCAAAATTATGTTCTTTTCCCTCATCTCCCATGTTCCATTCAATATGCTAATTTTCAGTAAACCTCCTATAGTAGTTCACATTTGACTACGGCAAAAATAATTACATACTCGTGAGTATTTTCTACCCAAAATTAAGTTCAATTGATTCAAATTTAAGAATATCTCATATACTCACTAGTAGCTTATTAAACGATAGTGATTAGAAAATCGAATCTCTCGTTCCGGTTTTTGAAAACAACAAAAAGTGAGAGTGGGATGCAAAACTCAAAATTACCCAAAATTAAGTAAAAGAACTTAAATTTAGGGTAATTTTTTTTTCTCTGTGTTTGTCGAAAACTTCAGTAAACATGTGGAATTTTGTCTTTTTTTCTGTGTGATTGTTGATAACGCTGTCTTGAAAATAAAACCTACGCATCATACATACGAGTTAATACATTTCCCTGCTCTAAACAAGTCATAGCTGAACACAGAACGAAAATATGTTACCCTTTCTTATCGTTCATATTGTTCAATTTCCATACATTTAAGCCAATTTCCAAGCAGGTGCGAAGGCGTCTCATCTTCTGCCTCCCTACAATGACTCCAGATCATGGCGTGACGTATTTGTGAGACAAAAGTGAATAATTGAAAAGCTTCGCGCCCGAACGACGCGATAATACGGTGAATAAACGAATTTGCATAATAACATCGTTTAAATGCATGGTATCGATGCGTCTTGAATGGAGAGATTACTAAGCACGCTCTCATATTTTTCGTCTTCACGACGGCAAAAATCAGCATTAGTAACGCGAAACATTGTCAATCCATACCCACTCTCCCATCCCCGTCCGTCGTGTCGTCGTCTTCAAGAAGGAATCATAAAAAAATATGAATTCTACGAAAGCTCATACAAAGGATTGCGAGAGCGGAAGTTGGTTCCCTCATTGTTTTTGGCGCTGAATCATTTATTCGTTCCACCTCTGCCAAGCAACTGTGAGTAGGAGACGATGAGGGAGGTAGAAGTCACTCCTCTTTTTTCATCATCGTAGATAACTACGACCGGCGAAGCGATTCCCTCTTTTGTTCCTTTTCCGCGATTTCCGTGCTCGAAGCGTTTTTGATTTCCATAATTGATTTTAATTAGCAGTGCTTTGTTTTAAGATGCAATCCCGGCATTCAATTGGGTATGCATGTCATGACACAGATATAGTTTATATCGGATACAGCGATAATTGGCATTTTATAAACTGCTAATAGTGCTCAGTGAAACCTCTAGGGCCGGAGAAACGGAGAGGCATTATGCAGAAGAGTAATTAATATTTCAACGACTTTGTTTCACCTTAGCGGTAAGTATGGAGGCAGGAGGATTCGATGAGTTGTCTTTCTTCTGAAGGCAATGTAGTTGTACGATGAAGATATAATGACGACTCATTTAAAAACAGTAACTAACAGAAGTTGATGAATTCAGGATCTGAACACGGTAGGGCAAGGATGCAATCAACTATTTCAGATTTTCAACACAATAAATTACGATTGGTGTAAAATAAATGGTTAGTACTAACTATATACTGTTTAATTATGTTAAGGTTCAATTTACTTTGATGCATTTTTTAAAAATTAAAAAGCAGTTTTTTTCGACGCATTATTTTAGATTGCAAAAAGCTCGCGTAATTTTGTTTAAAATATCAAAAGGAATCGAATAGTGCGAGCTTTTTGCAATATGAAATAATGCGTCGGAAAAAAACTGCTTTTGAAATTTTCCAAAAAGCATCAAAGTAAATTGAACCTTAAGTCATGCTGGTTATACATGGAAGTGATATTTTGAAGATAGCGTCATCTTAGATCTGTTTCTGGTACACATTTTTTTATTGTTAATCTCATATCATCGTAAGGAAAATAATGAAAAAAGTCTATTTACATGTTATTCAAGCTTTCATGGTTTATGGTCAAATTTTACGACCTGCCACATCCGTAAGGATAAGGGTTCACTCGCTTTATTTTAATTTATTACGGTTGAATGTTTGTCTGCTGGTCTGAGCTTGCCTCTGTTTTACGGTTTCCATACGCATATGCATGTGGTTTTCCTTTATATGCAAGACATGATGGAGTTACTTCTCCGGGTACGCTTCTGCTCCTGGGAAAAAACCATATTGTCAATGAAATGCAGCCTTAGATACTGCACTGACTGATACGGTTACACACAAACACTGCCATTCCGCCGGGCTCATCTGTCCCGAAGGTGTTTGGAGGTTATGTTTTAGACGAAGATAAACTGCGCCTCGCCGGAGGTGCACTTTTTCGGAAATGCTGTTGTTAGTCGGAGCCACTTTCCGTGGCAAGAAGGCAGAACCAGAGATGCAAACCGCGTATTTCGACCAGTGACTCCCTCCCCTAGGCATCGATCTGGCAACGTCCGCTGCGAATCTTTCCTAATACTATGATGCTGCAAATTTCTATCGTAATCATCTATGCTAGTGTTTCCATTTTCATCAGCATCCTCGGCGGACTCGTCTGAAATGTAGTTTTCGTAAGGATCCTGCTCGACTGAAGTAATATTCTGTGTAAACGGTGGCTCCAAATCACAATGAACGACAATGCGGTCGCCCTCGAGCAGTGCCCTGTAGTTGAGGTCTTTGTGGCAGTGCTTGGTCACCTTCATAACTAGAAAAGCGATGCAGTATCTGAAAACGAGACAAGTGAAGAGAAATTACGTTATAAAATTGAATTATGTCTCTGGCTTGACATAATTTAACACTGAGCAATTCCCGGTGAAAACGGCCATGTTTTTTTCGAGGTTCTTAAAATTCATTTATTCGATAGCTAGATAGTTATGAACAAAAAAAAATGGTATGTTGGATCGATGGACCCCTTGTTAACTTCCCGGTCAAAACAAATAGTTTAAGAAAAAGATATTTTTTTGTAAATTCTTGGATGATTTAAAATAATATATCTCGTTAAATTCCTACAAAAAAAAAATCTTGATGTTCGCATACTATTCGAAAGATAAACTTCGAAGCTTTTATTTGGAATATTTAAAATTTCTTGGCGACCATATTGAAATTAGCCGACATATTCGATGTTTTCGATGAAATGAGTTCTTCATAAGCTTACCTCTCACCAATTTGAAAACTTAACGCGCCATATGAAAGCTGAAACTTTTTTCATAGGATACATATTAAATAATGATTGAGCACCTCGTTTTAAGTAAGAAAAGAGAAGAAAATAAAACGAATCATCAAAAATTGTATGGGATCATATTAGGCATCGTGCACCAATTAGGTAACGCATGGAGGGGGAAGACGAATCGAGCTTGCGTTACTTATTGTTACATAGGGGGTTAATGGAAAATGTTACGTAAAATTTTGACCAAAGTAAAAAAATTGACCAAAGTAAAAAACATTCAAAACCGAAAAAAAACAAAATAATGTGCTGTTAGTTTAAAAGTTTATCGCCATAACCATATTTGATGTGATATTTTTATTAAATTTTCAGTATAGATGGGGAAAAATATAGGAATGATTGTGTGTCCTGTGGTCAGATTTACTCTGGTGGGTTCCTGATTCAGGTCGGGTAACACAAGTGGCCGTTTCGTCCTAATGCCCGTTTACCGTGACTTGGGTTAAATTAATAACTCCTCAGGGACGCATTAGTGATCAGACTGGCCCACATTTAATGGTTTATCACTTTTTATCAATGGGCCACAATTGTGGCCATTTGGTGAGAAAACCACTCTCTAAAAATTTCAGCTCATTCGGATGTGACACGAGCTGGCGCTTTTGGTTTAAAGTTGTATGTAGAAATGTATGGAGAGTCAAATTCACTGAATTCCAGCAACTAAGCGAAGATTCATAGAATTATGAGAGGAAAAATCTATTTTTTATGTTTTCGCTATTTGGCACTAAGGCTTTTGGTGTTTGTTGAGCAATTTTGGCTTAAATCCCGTAAATAGCAAATGATCATTTCTGTAAAGATTTTTTAGAATGTCAATGCTCTTTTCTGTGATTTGCAGTTTTGCTTGCGTTTTCAGGTAATTTCATAATTTGATTTAGAGCTATTTTTGAGTTTCGCAATTTTTCGACCTTTTTGGTAATTTTTCCGTTGGCGTCATTTTTCGTTGGAAGATGGCAGTGTTTTCGGCCAATTCAGATTTGCTATGGCCTTTTTAGGCGCATTGGAAACATTTTGAAAATGGCCTTGTTAAGATTGTTAGACCATTCAATATTAGCTTGTCTAGAGAGTTTTTGAGTGTGTTGATTATTTCCTTTTAATTCCGTTATAATTGCTTATCTTTTGACAGCTACGCATATTTCGTCTACTACTTGCAGAATTTATCAGTGCCAAGTACTCAACACCATTGAATAATTCATCGAAACGACATTAGTCTCCAAAATGGCATCCAACATCGAATTTTGGCTTCTACACGTAGTCCACGTTTGGAAAATACCCATATTGAAAGGTATTTGACAGTTTTTCAAGAACAGATATGGTGGACAACTGTTTCCAAAATGGCATCCAGCATTGATTTTCACCCCTGTTCCGAAAATACTCACATTGAACAGCAACATACTATACGGAGTAAGCTTCGAGATGTCGCATATTGAAGAAGTTCGCATGCACGCTAATGCCACGTAGTAAGAGAGTTCTGATCTAATATGAGCACCATCCGGAAGACCGTGGTAATTTGAACAACTTAACTGAAGACAGTAACTCAGCAATCAAATGTCACTTTTGCTGAGATCTCAGTGAAACTTATTTTACCGAGATTTGCACAACCGAGCTCGGTAGAAAAAACTAAGTGTGTAGTTTATAAAGGAAGTTCACACAGTAGGCAGTAACCTTTTATATGGCCAGGACTTTGAGATACAGGATTTTGATCGAGTTTTATTCTCTCACGTGGAGATGATTTCTTTTTCATAACATGAGTAGTTATTTGACCAATAATAAAAATTGAACTGTCCAACTGATTATGCTCTAAAGCTATTTGTCATTCTTTAATTGAATTCCTTCATTATAACATGAGCAGTTCATTGAATAATAGTATCGTACAGAAACTTTTTTTATTTAGGTCATTCCACCTCAAGTGACCGAGCAAATGCATCGACCCTCTCCGATTTAAACCAACATTGGGGGTCTACTTATTTTAGGCCAAAACCAAAAAATCCAAAGTTTTGTGCCATTTTTCCAACCCTCTGTTGCCAATTGTTTATAACACCAATTTTTATTTCAACATATCTCTGAGACCGAAAAAGATACAAAGGACATTGGGTACCCTTTTTGAAGAATTTTAAATGTACAATCAAATTTTGGGATAGTACCTTCTCATGCATGTTTCGGACACTTAAGGCATGTGCTGCAGAAAACAGACATATGGAATTTATGGTAAAACATTATTTAGTTTCATTTCTTCGATACATTGCTGGAGTATCCTTAAATTGAGGTATCTGATATGATACTTTAAAATAAGTATCAAAACTATTCAATGAAAGTGTAATTTAACTAGGGCTACCAACATTCAAACTTCACACACTTGCTTTTGAGGAAATTAAAATTACTAGTCTGGCCGCGACCTTACGTAAGGAGCAAATCGAAACAACGAACGTCGCGTAAAAGTAGAATTTAATGAAGGCATAAGCGCTTTTTCGTAGCTTTTTTGTCTCCAGGTTTAAAAGATCATCGGTAGTAAAGGCTTATTCTTGTGTAAAGGGCACCACCATGGAGTTTGAGTTTGAATAAATCCCAGGTCCTATTATATTATTGTTATATATTCAGTGATAAATATTTAAAACAGGATCAAAACACAGCTAGAAGAAGCAACGTAACATCATTTGATTTTCTTGAGTCCTCAGTTTAGGCTGAATTTACTGATTTAAATCTTTAAGTTTATTTTCAGTTCTTCGATGATGGATCATTTTTAGAATAATATTATAATGGTTCACTTTTTTCAGCCTACGTTCAAGAAAATATTGAAAACATTGTAATGCATGATAGCAAGTGCATGAAAACTGTTAACTGTCAAAATAACCTCAATTTTTCTGACTATTGATTCATTATTAGAGTCTATCAATATTTTTAAAAGCATTCCATATTGCGTTAAAATATTCCATGGTGCATAATAAAGTGTTTGTTTCAATTCCAATAAAATATCAAAAGTTGAAATCAGTTACAGTTTATTTGTATTTTGTAATACTTGTTTATTTTAAATTCATTATATTTTATATATTGCATGACTAGTAAATTATTGTTATTTTACATATTTAAAATCTCATTAAATCATTATAACTAAAATTTTCATTTACAGAAAACAGTTGTCCTGCAGATCCTGAAGTACCCAATTAGCAAATCATTGTTATTTACATTTTATTTAATTATAATTTAATAATATGATCTATGGTTTTCAGAATTTGGATTACCCAGAAAATCAATTGAATATCATACATTAGGCCAATGTTTTTAAATTGTTTTATCTTTGCAGAGTTTTGCTATTTCAAGAATTATTCATTAATACTTGTTTTTATAACTCTTGTATGCTCAGGCAAAGTTCAGTTCAATCCGAGGGGGGCGACACATCTAAATCTCAAGTTAAGATGCTCAACAAATCTCACACTAGCGAATTAATCTTCGAAAAATCTTCTTTCATTTGTTGCATCTACTTGCATCGAGCATCATAGTTTTGCAGGAAATCTTCAGAATCGTCATCAATCTTCTTTCTATCTCAGCGTGCGCGCAGCTAGCCACAGCATAGCACAATATTTTCTGCATCGTAGATAGAGTCGTCTCCCTCGGTTCAATCATACCATGCAATTAAAATATTCATATATAGCTTGAGTTTAAAGAAATTGAGTGACTTAAATCGAGGTCGTTTGTATTTTGTTATATTTTATTAATTATATATCGACCGAATGCATCCGGAATTTTGACGTCTTCTTTTTATGGAGATACCTGCTATGGATCGAAGAAAGTCTACGAGGAGGCCAGTTGCTGTTAGTGCAGCTCCACTTGGTTATTTAAGTGAGATCATTCTTTTTTATTTATTTGTACGGTAACCCCTCGCTATCGTTAGGACGTCAATTCAGCTTATCGTTTACCAAACCGAACCCTGCTGCAAACCCTACCCTCTTATCCAACATCCCAGTGATTCCTCGTGGAAGGGCAGAGGATTTCTCGGCTTCCATCAAAGAGAGTGTTACGTCAACACATTCCTACCCATTCGTTTCTTGACCTGCGTTCGGGCGCGGCAGGCGCTGGTATTGCCTAGTTTAAGATCACCAGTTTTTACACATTGAGGATGATTGCTAATCCCAAGCATCGTCTTTTGGTTATCAGTGTAAGTACAGCTGATCTGGCAATAAAAATGCTCATGCTCATGCTCATTCCAAACGACGGAATGGTTCAAAACTGTTTGAAAGCATTTTCACAACGCTCCAAACTTCTCAGGTGAGTGTGACTATTTTTGGAAGCCTTTTCTTTTCTTCGGCAACCTTCCCATTTGAACTGCATGTGAACCAGCTGTTCTACCATCGGCAGCACGAACTAAGCCGTATTTTGTAGTGTGCATATGTCATTTAAAGAAAAATCTGGCAGTACAGGATTGCTCAGTTATAAAAAAATAATTAGATTGAAGCTGAATTTTGGTTCAAATCGAAGAGGGTCGATGCATTTGCTCGGTCACTTGAGATGGAAT